TGTATATGTGTGTGTGTGTGTGTGTGTGTCTTCAGTGTCACTTTCCTAGTTTGCTGGTTTTTGTACAGTTTGTGGCCTGTTTAGGGATTTCATATCTATTTACACATTGTGCTACATTTAGCTGGAAGCTTCATGTTGGCATTGGAGATGTAACAATAAATTGTTTTTCTAATTAACTGAATTTCATTGTGGTTTGTTTATTTTTTCCCAGTTCCATAGATGATATTGTTAAGTGTTTCCTTATGTCTCATTATTATAAACAGTGGTATACTTTTAACTTTGGTGATGCCTGGATTTAAAACGGACTGTTTTACCAGTGCGTGATCAGTTGTAGGCCTGTATGACACAAGCAGGGCACAGGATGGCCAAACTTTGGCACATACTGAGCCCCGTGCACAGCTGATGTGTCCACTGTTGCTGGTTGACATGTAAACCAATATGAAGCAGGAGGAGCTCAGTGAACAGTCAGCATGTCAGTCAGTTAGGCTGAACCATCACATGATTACCGTGTGCTTGACCAAGCCAATGTTCTCCTACACCCAGTCTTTCTATGGGCAGCCATTTATCTGGTGCATGCTGCACAACTTTGGAGGCAGCAGTGGCTTATTTGGCACAGTGGAGAGCATCAACTCTGAGGTCTTTAAAGCCTTGAATATCCCAAACTCCGCCCTGGTGGGCATAGGCATGACACCTGAGGGTATTGAGCAGAATGCTGTGGTGTATGAATTAATGAGCGAGCTGGCTTAGCGCCAAGAACCAGTCAACTAGTCTACCTGAACCATCACATGATTACAATCACATGACTAAACCAATTAAAAAGTCTTTGCACTGGAGGTAGCACTTGGGTTTTCTGGTTAAACTTGATCTACGGTGAAACGCTCCGGCTTCGTTTGACTAGACAACAAAATGTCGATCAGAAACGGCTGCAGTCTGCTTCTGGCCGTCGTCTTCTGCCTTTTAGTAACAGCACAGTGTACATTTCACACTCTAGACCACCTCAAACCGAAAGCCAGCGACAAGACACAGGAGATAGCAGTGGTCGAGATGCTGGAACGTCTGCTCGGGAACAGATCTACGGAGTTCATCGTGTCAGTCAACAGGAGCCTTTCCAAAGACGGCCTGGATGTGTGCGAGCTCAGGTCAACCAACAGCAATACGATAGTCGCTACGGGCAGCAGCGGAGTGGCTGTGGCTTTTGGCATTTACAACTATTTGAAATATAAATGCAACTGCCATGTTTCCTGGTCTGGTGATCAGCTGGATCTGCCCCGTCCTCTGCCAAAGCTCACGGACGTCCTGCGCTTCAACATGCAGCACAGGTGAGTCACGCACAGTGTTTGCATAACGGAAAAGATATCTACGGTTCAAAGAACTAGCACCGCCAGCAGAACCCAATTCGTTGAGATTTCGCGGAAATGTTCAACTCTTCATGGAAATACTCGCAGTGCTCGATCGGGACTGATTTTTGCCGCACTTATCACATTACTACTCAGTATCACTACAGAACTTATCACATTACTACTCGGTAATCACTACAGC